ATTCGCACAGGAAAAAATAAGTGGCTCAAAATATGTTGTGATCTATTTTCAAATAATTTGTTGTACATAAAAAAATTAATTAATATCCAAATATGGCCTTTAACAGCATTCGACTACAAAAACCTGTTTCGTTTTCAATTAGAAATAGTTAAATATTTTTTTATGAATTAAAAAAAAAAATATGTCGAACAAAAATTCAACATTCTTAACTACGAACCATTTCAAGTCTGAAAAATCCAACATGCTACTCATCACCATTCTGCGAACAATAATGATCATCATCAAAATAACCCAAAGAATATTAAATTTCCAATTATTTAAATTAATCAACATTTTACGTATTTGACTTAGTGTCATAGTAGCTTCAAAATAAAACAAATAAAAGAACAGGTTAAAAGTTTAGGCGGCAAACAGAAAAACCATAATATGATTTGTGACGTTTAATATAATAGTCGGTTGGTTTATTATAATAATTACACTCTTATTTATGCAGCAACAAAAAAAAAACAGGTGTAAATAATAAAAACACAACAACAACAACAAAAAACCAACAAATTATCGATCAAGTCTCTTGTATAATGACCTTGAACTTAAACCAGATTATATGTGTTTATTCTAGTTTCAATTCACCTTGATTTGTTGTTATTTAAATTTTTATTGAACAAAAAATAAATATAGTTTTTATTTTGCATTACAAATGGCCAATGGATGGATGGAAGGCGTTTGAAAAGAATTTGTGACTTTTTTTCTTCATTGAAATGAATTGGAATTTACAAAAAATGCAAGGAATGGGAAAACCAATAGGCGTCATGGCAGACCACGTGACTTCGAGCCAATGCCAGAGGCATTTGAGAACAACTGTGGGATTTTGAAAAATGTTTTACAAATTATCAACTGGATTTTTGAGAATATTATTCAGTGACTGCAGCACAATTCGTGGTATATTAAGGAATATTAAATAATTAGACGATTTTCCAAAAGAATTTTAGTTTTATGTAATTCTTTGGTTCTTCTTCTATTGAGCCTACGATCTCGTCACTTGGGTAAAAAAGGTTTTTTTGATATAGGAGTTATTTTTAAAATAACTCCTGGGGAGAATATTCCAGACAAAAAACAAAGGAACTGATGAGGATCGGTGGGCCTTTCCCAAACCTAGGTATTCCCTGCCTTACCCCCTGGTAAACATTACCATCGTTCTCCACAATTAAACAAACGTTGTTTTTATAAAAACAACAATAATGGGATTATGCCTAACTATTTTGCAACAACAAAATACCATATAATTATAATATTAAATATTTTTTCAAAGACCTGTATATCCAATTAAATTGAATGTGTTGTGTTTAAAAATCATTACCAAACGGACCGATAAATCTGGACTTTTGGGAATATTTTTCAAGGGTAAACAGAGCCACCAAACGAGGACTAAATAATATTTTCTTAGTAGCAGTAGAATCATCAAATGTGAAGTTTTATGAATATTTTGTTAATCCAAAACATAGTTGAACTTTCAAAAATGTAATATTTTTTATATCCTCCTTCATACATAGTATGAAGGGTATATTAGGTTCGTCATTTCGTTTGTAACTTATCGAAATAATATTTTTAGACATAACAAAGAATATATACAGGGTGAGATGAAAAAACTGCAACCAACTTCAGACTGCTGTCATTTCTAAGCCACTCGTCCGACAGCTGTTAAAATTATTCCATTGTCAGCTCATTATATTGCTTACATGTGCACCAAAGCATTTTGGTGAAAATTTTCCAGAAAAAAAATTATTCGTGGTAGGATTCAAGCGTGATAGTGTGATTTCTTTATATTTGGCTATGGCTAGAGCACTCCAGCATTTAAATGTGAACCAATGTTTTGTGTCTCGTACCACCGCGATACTGGTAGCGTAGCCCGACGTCAAGATAGTGGACGGAAGAAAACAACAACATCATTCGAAACGGTTCGAAAAGTAAAGAAGCGACTTAATCGAAACCCGCAGTGGCCGAAAAATTGCTCGTGAACTGAACATATCGAAATATTCCAAATATTGAAAAATGAGCTCGGGGTAAAGCCATTGAAATTCCAAAAAGTGCAAGAACTTACACCACAACAGAAAGAAAATAGACTCAAAAGCGCTAAAGAGTTGCTTCGCTTGGCCAAAAGTGTTAAACTTCGTGTTTACTTGCCAAAGAGGTCAGCTGAAAATGTGCACCTGGCCATGGTGATGGTGTGGGCCGCCATAACAGCCGATGGTCGCTCTCCGCTCGTATTAGTCGACCGTGAAAATGCCGAATATTATCGCGAAAATATTGTAGAGGGTGTATTTAAGCCTTGGGCACGCAAATATTTTGGCCGCAGACCTTGGACATTCCAACAGGACTCAGCACCATCGCACTCAACAAGCGCCACGCATGAATGGTTAAAAATGAGGATCCTCGCTTCATTTCCAGCGCACAATGGCCACCAAAGTGTCGATCACCTCAAGCAAGCGCTTCGCCGGGAATGGGCCAAAATACCACAAAGCAACATTCGGGGAGCGTGTGACGATTTCATTGGCCGTTTGAAGGCCATAATTAATGAAAAGGTGACTAATTCAAACAAATCTAAACTTATTCTAAAATTTGATTCTATTTCCGACATTTTTTGCTTTCATTCTATAAAATTTAAAAAAAAATCTCCCTCCATAAACTTTGTTGTAATTTTTATACCCTACACCACAAGGTGGTCAGGGTATTATGTCTTTGTGCATTTGTTTGTAACAGGCAAAAGGAAACGATATAGACCCATAGTTCCTTTTGATGATCTGCATAGAATCACTTTCTGAGTTGTTTTATGCATGTCAGTCCGTCTGTCCGTCCGTCCGTCTGTCCATGTATTCTTGTGAACAAAATGCAGGTCGCATTTATTATCCGATTGAGATGAAATTTCGCGAACAATATTTGCCAAGGACGAACCCTATTGAAATTGGAGATAATCGGTAAACATTTAGATATAGCTCCCATATATATCTTCGTCCGATTTGCCTTTTATTGTGCACCAAACGTGTAATATCAGCCTGAATAGTATGGAATTTTGCACATACAACCAAATTAGGCCTGAAAATAAGTATGCCAAATTTTATCGAAATCGGTTCAGATATAGCTATAGCTCCCATATATATTGTTCATCCGATTTGTTATTTTTGTCCTCCGCAGCCGTAATATGCACTCTGTAACAACAATATTTGGGGAAATATATCAAATGCAGCTCAGAAATACCTTTGCTAAATTTTATCGAGATCGGTTCAGATTTGGATATAGCTCCCATATATAACATCGTCCGATTTATTTTTATTGTGCACCAAACGTCTAATATTTGTCCAAATGGGATGGAATTTGGCACATACGACCAAATTTAGTCTAGAAGGTAGTATGCCAAATTTGGTGAAGATCGGTTCAGATATAGTTATAGCTCCCATATATATTGTTCATCCGATTTATTGTATTTGTTACCCACTGCCGTAATATGCACTCCGTAACAACGATATTCAGGGAAATATATAAAATACAGCTCAGAAATACCTTTGCCAAATTTTATCGAGATCGGTTCATATTTGGATATAGTTCCCATATATATTTTTATCCGATTTCAAATTAATTTCGCACCAAATGGGCAATACAAGTCCGAATTTAAAAGATACAAATGCTTCGGCATATTTAGTCCTTTGAATTTTAAATTATAATTATAATCATAGCGTGTATGATTGAATTCTCCCATAAAAACTTTTAATGATTAAGTGGAGCTCAACTAAATTCGCAAAGTGGTGTAGGGTATCATAAAATCGGCCCCGCCCGACTATAGGACTTTCTTTACTGGTTTTTATCTCACTTGGTAAATTTTAAGAAAAATATTTTCAAGGAAATTTTTAAAACAATTTTACAAATATTTTTCCTAAGCGTCAATTGTAGAAGTTATAAAATCGTCGATAATTAAAAATTATTTTTTTGCTAAAATTTTTAATTTTTTTTTTTTCAAAGTTAAATTTTTGAAAATGTTATTTTCAAAAGTCTACTATAATATTAAATAAGTTTTCCAAGCACGAGGGTAAAAAAACGTATTTAGTATTAGAAACAAAAAGATCGGAAAAATTAAAATGTGAAATATTTTAAAATATTTTCCGATACGTGAATTTCAAAAAAAGAATATTTTGCCAAATGCAGATGTTTGAAGAAATGTCCCAATTGTGTATTTTTAAAATGTTACTCCAAATTTTGTATTGAAAAATATTTCTCTTATTTAGTATTTTAATTTTAAGGAATATTGCTTCAATACGTAGATTTAAACATACCCTTTTCTATATGAAAAACCTTTTAAAGTCTAAATGTGTACATTTATGAAAACACCTGCATTCATATCGCATTTGTTTTATATAAATAATTAATTAAATGTGTGCTTGTCTTGAAAACAATATGACCATATTTTGAAAATTAAATTGGACAAGTATTTATGATTAAAATATTTAAAATGGATTCTTGTTCTTTGAATATTGGATGCTCAAATAGACGGCATTCTATGCCATTGACTTGTCGAACGCATTTGCATGGAAAAAAGTTAAAAAGTTAAACACACTTTATAGAATCTCCCTCCATTAACAATTGTCTTTCAATCTTTGATTTATTGAATTTTAATGGCAAAGCAAAGCAATTCAAACCAAAACACCCGTTTGAATATTTCAACCTCTACTGCTACAACGAAATAACACTCATTTGGCCGGTCTCACCTAGGCAACCGGTCATCCATCTATCCAGCCAGCCAGCCAACTAACCCATCATCAATTAATGTAAATGTGAGGTATCTGCCAGCCCAGCAACCTACCAACCAACCCAGCTACACAAGACAAGTTCCATGAATAGAGCAGAAGACGGTCGAAATGGACTTGTCAAGTAGCTGGCTGGCTGGCTGGCGAGCTGAGCTTGGTTACGCTTACGCTACGGCAGGCAACGCTGCTGCATGGAATGTCACTTACCTTGAAGAAGATGCCAAGATAATAACGCTTTTCGCCAAGTTTCAACAGCGGCATTGTCCATTTGTTCATGTATTGCGTGTCGTCTACACAGTGTGGACAATCTGCAATAAAAAAAACACATTGAGAAACAGAGAAGAGAGAGAGAGAGAGATGGATTATTAAATCAAAAGAAAAAACGATGCAGAATAATATTTAAAACATAAATTACAATTTGTTTATAACTGTAAAAAAAAACCCAAACGTGGGAATAAATTGCTGAGTGAAAATGAAAGAAGTGTTTCAATGTTATGACATTTAAAAGAATTTTAATACCCGAAATTATGTAAACTCTTGTAAAAATCAGCGATAAACAATCATAACTGATTTTTCAATTTATTCTTAATTGCAACGTTTTTGCTTGCCACTGTCTATAGTAGCTGTCACTAATTTTTATTGATTACAATACCAAAGACTAGATTTTCTCCATATGAAGACGAATTATTACATTGACATTTTGAATATTTTAAATTGTGATTTGTTTTAATGACAACTCCAAATTCAAATTTGGTCAGTAGATTTTTAAGTGATTTTTCTGAATTTTTTTGCAAGGACATATAAAGCCGCAAATGGTTTTTATACCCTCCACAAGAGCATGGAGGATATATTATGTTTGTCATTCCGTTTGTAACATCTCGAAACATAAATTTTAGACCCCACAAAGTATATATATTCTTGGTCAGATAAAATTCTATGTCGATTTAGCGATGTCCGTCTGTCTGTCCGTCTATACGCCTGTGAAACTGTCCGTCCGTCTGTTGTAATTACGCTAGAGTAAAAACCAACAAAGATAGGAAGCTAAAATTTTGCACAGATCTGTATTTTGTCTGCAGGCAGGTCAAATTCGAAGATGAGCTACATCGGTTCACGATATCGTATAGCCACCTGATATTCGATATTTCGATGATTGTAGTCTATTTTTTCATTGAAATTGTCTGAAAATCCACAAAAAGAGTTCCTTCTGTGTAATTTACCCTCTGGAAGAGTATTGACTATATAGGTTCACGATATCGTATAGCCCCCATATAATGGTACGCCCGATATTCGGTATTTTGAAGATTTTATGGCATTCTTCACCGGAATTGTTTCAAATTTCGTATTATGAATTCGTAATGGGTGCATGCAGGCCCACGTCTTCGTATAGCCTCCTATCAGTACCTCTTACTACAAATACCTCATACCAAATTTCCAATATCGTTCCAATGTTCGGACCGCCCGAACTTACTGCTTTCTTACTTGTTTTTCTTCAAATTTCGATAGTTGTTTATTTTATTTTTTCCGTCTTATTGACATTTCTAATAATGCAGGGTGAGATGAAGCAACTGCAACCAATTTCAGACTGCTGTCATTTCTAAGACGCTCGTGCGACAGCTGTTAAAATTATTCCAATGATAGCTCATTATCAGCATAGCCCGACATCAAGGAAGTGGACAGAAGAAAACAGCAACATCAGTAGAAATGGTTCGAAAAGTAAAGAAGAGACTTGATCGAAACCCGTGTTGCAGTGGCCGAAAAATGACTCGTATGCTGGACATATAGCAATATTACATATAGCGACAGAAAGAAAATAGACTCAAAAAAGCTAAAGAGTTGCTTCGCTTGGCCGAAAGTGGTGAACTGCCGAATTTGGTTTTCTCCGATGAAAAAACATTCGTTGTCCAGCAGTTTAAAACCTTGGGCACGCAAACATTTTGGCCGCAGACCTTGGACATTCCAACAGGACTAGCATTATCGCACTCAGCAAGCGCCACACAATGGTTACAAAATGAGGTTCCTCGCCTCATTTCCAGCGCGCAATGGCCAACAAAATCTGTGGACACCAATCCGTTGGACTATTGTGTCTGGAGTATTTTGGAAAGCAAGTTTGGAACTAAAAAATACTAAAGTCTCGATCACCTCAAGCAAGCGCTTCGCCAGGAATGGGACAAAAAAACAAAGAGCAACATTCGGGCAGTGTGTGATGATTTCATTGGCCGTTTGAAGGCCATAATTCGTGCCAAATATCTAAACTTATTCTAAAATTTGATGTTACTTCAGACATTTGTTGTTTTCATTCAATAAAATTTAAAACAAAAAATGTAAAAATTATGGTATTTGAGTTTATTGCAGTTTTTTTTATTTTACCCTGTATGTCAATTTTTTAATAAAATGTTTTATTCCAAACACATAATAATCATATTTATACCCTACAACACTATGTGTTGGGGGTATTATAAGTTTGATTGGGACAAAAATTATGTAACACATCGAAATATTGGTTTCCCACATAGGAAAGTATATATGGATCTTCCTAGCTCGCCGAGCTGAGTCGATCTAGCTATGTATGTCCGTCCGTCCGTCTGTCCGTCTGTCCATGTTAATTTGTAATCACTCTACAGGTCGCAATTATGGTCCGATCTTCACGAAATTTAGAATGTAGGTGGGGCTTGGACCAGAATAGAATCCTATTGCTTTTGTTTAGGGGTTCAAATGGACCAAATACTGAAAAAATGTCGGATTTTGCAGTAGCTATACAGGTCGCAATTATAGACCAATCGACGCGGAATTTCGCATGTAGGGAGGGGAAGAAGCCTACCAATTTGGGTGGTCATCGTAAAATATTTAGCGGCTAAAATAGACCATTTCTTTTGTGTTGAAAAAATTCAAAATTTTTCATTAAACCGTGATATTTTAAATCCCGGCGAAATCATAAAGCCATCACATGGTTACTTCTGACCTTTACATTGATGTGAACATCCAACAAATCGGATATAGCAAAATATGTGCGATATATATGTCTATCAAAGAAGATATGCTTGAAAGATCTCTTATATGTCGAGAACGGCTGAACTGATTTCGACAGTTCTCATTAATTCAGAATGGCCTCTTGGCAGGAAAGAAAAAACGTCTAAAAAAATCGCATAAAAATATCTCTCTAAAGATGAAAATATTGATTTTCTAACATTTTCACATATTTTTTCAATTTTGTCATATTTTTGGCATATTTTCATTTTGAATTAAACATTTGGTAATATTTCTACAGCTGACAAAACTAAGTAGTTAGGATATCAGGATATCATATACAGATCGCATTTATGGCTCGATCCTTACGAAATTTTGCATGGGGATAAGATGAGGGTCAGAATAGAAGCCTACTCTTTTTGGAGATGATCGCCATAATACTGCAAAATTGTCAGCAAGTCGTAATTATCGCCCGATCCTCACGCGCATTTGAATGGAGGTTACCGGACATTGCAAAAGCCAAATATTTTTGGATGGCCATCCAAAAATATTCAATGTGTGAAATAGTTTGCCAACTTCTGTAGACAAAATACAAAAATATCCATTCCAGTGACTTTTTGGAGAATTCACAAATACAGGAAAGGCGCACTTCTAACTATTTCGTTAACGCTGATTTCGTTGAAGAATATAGTCAAATGTCTGTATCTCATATGGATGCGTTTCAGTCAAAAACCAATAATAAATGTTAATCTTTTGCCACTTCTGAGAGATTATAGGTCTTTGGGAAATATTGGTTCTAGATCTAGGAAGACCGTTTATGTGCAACATCTACCAATAAATTGGAAATGAGCAAATTAGTTTAAGTTGTTATTTTTCGAAAATTAGAGGACGAGACCTGATGGTTTTCTTTAATTATTTGTCACAATATCTTGTGGAATTTTGTCGAGTATTTCGCCTATATAAACTTTATGGTTTATTATAGTGTTGTAGGGTATTCAACGGTCGTTATTAAATTATTAAATATGTGCAAAATTGTAGTTTCCAGTTTGCTTTGATTTTTTAACGCCCATATATAAACTAACATTATTTTATTGAAATGCCGCTTAACACTAGACTTTTTCCGATAGGAAGTATTGATTTTTTTTTTTTTTTTTTTTTTGAAGATTATCTGTCTCAATGGTTTTTATAGTCTAAATAAAAAGGTGACTTCTATATTAATTTTTGCTATTTGGGGTTATTATATTGAATATCATTAGGGTTAGGTGTCAGTGCTTTTAAGCACAAAAGAGAGAGAGAGAGAGAGAGATAGAGAGAGAGAGAGAGATAGAGAGAGAGAGAGAGGGTCGGCTATGACCATTTTTGAAGACGTTATATGCCGCCGATTTTGTAGGGACATAAAAATCATTTTTTTTAAAAAAATCTCTGACTAGTGGTGGCTATAGAATACCTGGCTCATTTTTCCAATTCGAAATAAAAAGTTGAATTTTATAGTATTGTTATTGTGTAAGAGGATAGAAGAAGAAAATACATACGGAATTGTGTAGATATTTTCATTCATGTTTTTTTTATACCCTACGACACTATGTGTTGGGGGTATTATAGGTTTGATTGGGCCAAAAATTATATAACACCTCGAAATATTTATTTCCCACATAGGAAAGTATATATGGATTGTCCTATCTCGCCGAGCGGAGTCGATTTAGCTATGTACGTCCGTCCGTCCATCTGTCCATGTTAATTTGTAATCACTCTACAGGTCATTCGTGGTCCAATCCTCACGAAATTCGGCATGGAGGTGGGGTTAGGGTCAGAATAGAACCCTATTGTTCTTGGAGATGATAACATAATATTTAGAGGTTGAAATGGACAAAAAACAGAAAAATTTCCTAATTTTGCAGTTGCTCTACAGGTCGCAATTACAGACCAATCGAAACCGAATTCAGAGTTTAGGGCTGGTCAGAAGCTTACCATATTGTTTGGTCATCGGACAATACCTAGCGGGTAAAGGATACCATAACTTTTATATAAAAATATAAGAACATTTCCACTAAACCGCGAATATTTTTATACCCTCCACCATAGTATGGAGGGTATATTAAGTTTGTCATTCCGTTTGTAACACCTCGAAATACACATTTTAGACCCCACAAAGTATATATATTCTTGATCAGCATAAAATTCTATGTCGATTTAGCGATGTCCGTCCGTCTGTGGAAATCACTCTTGCTTCCGAACGAATTGAAGTAGATTGATAAAATTTTGCTCAAACGTATGTTATGTCTGCAGGACTTTTGGTATTGAAAATGGGCTATGTAGGTCCACGTTTTGGTATAGCCCCCATACG